CATCACCATGGCAGCTGCTGCAGCGGAGGCAGCGGGCGCCTGAGTGGAAGACCTGGCGGAGGCCGATGTGGGGGCTGGAAACTGCGGGCGGCGGAGGAGGGAGCTAGGAAATGGGGGTGAGACAGTGGGGACAGAGGTGGGAATCCCAAGCCTCAGAGCCATGTCTGTTATTTAAGGACTGAGCCGCATAGTGGGCACACTGGAGACTGGGACTCCTTGGGCAAAGTCAGGAAGGAGCAGAGTATGAGTGAACAGCCCTTGCTTTGGACCTTAGCTCTCATCTTCATTTTTTTTCTTTAACCTTTTTTTATATATACATTTATTTATTTATTTTTGGCTGCGGTGGGTCTTCGTTGCTGTGCGCGGGCTTTCTCTGGTTGCGGCAAACGGGAGGGAGCTACTGTTCGTCGTTGCGGTGCACAGTCTTCTCATTGCGGTGGCTTCTCTTTTTTGCGCAGCACGGGCTCTAGGCGCTCGGGCTTCAGTAGTTGTGGCTCGCGGGCTCTAGAGCGCAGGCTCAGTAGTTGTGGCGCACGGGCTTAGTTGCTCCGCGGCATGTGGGATCTTCCCGCGCCAGGGCTTGAACCCGTGTCCCCTGCATTGGCAGGCGGATTCTTAACCATTGCACCACCAGGGAAGTCCTCAGCTTCATTTCTTAATCAGGGCTACGTGCACCCCCCTGAGAGCCCTCACTGCACCAGCGTTTCTACTCACTACTAAGACTAGGTTGCTCGGGGGTGAGAATCAAGAGATCCTTTCCATAGGGAAGAGGGAGAGTGATGAATTTAAGAGACTGAAGGAAACAGCTGGACACTGGGCCCGTTAGGAAGTTGGAACTTGAAAGACAAACGGTTGAAGACCAGTATCCAGAGGTTTGGTTTGAGGAAGTATACCTAGATGAGTATGAATTTTAGGATTACAAGGAAAGTGAGGGATTTTGCACCCGTGTTTCTCTATTCCTGCCAACCCCCACTTTCCTCACACTCGTTTCTGCAGCTGGTCTAGACATGCAAAGCTGCCTTGGAACAGTCACAGCTGTGATACAAGAAGGGCGCTAGTAATGCTAAGAATGGAAAAAGGTTCTTGAAGTGCCCTTTCTCCTCATTTACAGCAGTACAGATCCTCCTCAGCTTACAATGGGGTTACATCCCAATAAACCCATCGTAAGTTAAAACATCTTAAGTCAAAAATGCGTTTGCACCTAACCTACCGAACATAATAGCTTAGCCTAGCCTGCCTTAAACATGTTCAGAACACTTACATTAGCCTACAGTTGGGCAAAATAATCTAACACAAAGCCTATTTTATAATAAAGTGCTGAATATCCTATGTAATCTATTGAATACTATACTATACTTAAAGTGGAAAACAGAATGCTTGTACAGGCACAGAATGGTTGTAAGTGTATCAGTTGTTTACCCTTGTGATGGCATGGCTGACTGGGAGCTGCAACTCGCTGCCACTGCCTAGCATCACAACAGAACATCATACCAAATAGCCTGGGAAAAGATCAAAATTCAAAATTAATTTACAGTTTCTACTCGAGGCATATCACTTTTGCACCATCATAAAGTAAAAAATTCGTAAGTCAAACCATTGTAAGTTGGGACCATCTGTACAAGGGAACACATGACTCTTCCCTAAAGCTTGAGCCAAAATTGTTGCTTTTTTAATTTGTTTTTGTTTTTGTTTTTACCTTGTTTCTTGTCTCCTTCCAAGAAGAACTAGACTGGTAGATAGCTACACTCTGTCTACCCCGTATCCCCATCAATCCCTGGTGTATGAATTCACCAGTCCCTTCCTCTTATTCCAGTTTGGGGTTTTTTTGTTTTAAAGTCTTTATTGACTTTGTTACAATATTGTCTTGTATTGACTCTGTTACAATATTGCTTTGTTACAACATTGTTTTTTGTTTTGGTTTTTTGGCTAGAGGCATGTGGGATCTTAGCTCCCCAACCAGGGATGGAACCCACACCCCTGCATTGGAAGACAAAGTCTTAACCATTGGACCGCCAGGGAAGTCCCCCCAGTTTGTTTTCTCTCTTATTTTAACCTAAAGAATAACACAACCCTGGAATGTGAAGTCAAGAGGCCCTTAATTTAAGATGGTGAAGGATGAGTGATAACCTACATGAGAAAAGAATCCAGAAAAGAATGCATATATGTATATGTATAACTGAATCACTTTGCTGTACACCTGAAACTAATACAACATTGTAAATCAACTATACTCCAATAAATTTAAGATATTATTTAAAAACAAAAAAAGGATGGTGAAGGATGATTGAAAACAAACTTATGGTTACCAAAGGGGAAATGTCTGGGGCCGGGGTGGGGGGGGGGGGCGGGGGGGAGGGATAAATCAGGAGCTTGGGATTAAGGGGGGGGGGAGCGGGGAGGAGGGATAAATCAGGAGCTTGGGATTAACATACAGACAATACTATATATTTTTTTAATAAATTTATTTATTTTTGGCTGCATTGGGTCTTTGTTGCTGCAAGCGGGCTGTCTCTAGTTGTGGCGAGCGGGGGCTACTCTTCGTTGTGGTGCGCGTGCTTCTCATTGTGGTGGCTCCTCTTGTTGCAGAGCACAAGCTCTAGGCGCGCGGGCTTCAGTAGTTGGGGCACACGGGCTCCGTAGTTGTGGCTCGCAGGCTCTAGAGTGCAGGCTCAGTAGTTGCGGCGCACGGGCTTAGCTGCTCCGCAGCATGTGGGATCTTCCTGGACCAGGGATCGAACCTGTGTCCCCTGCCTTGGCAGGCGGATTCTTAACAACTGCACCACCAGGGAAGTCCCCACACTACTGTATGTAAGATAGGTAACCAACAAGGACCTAATGTACAGCACAGGGAACTCTACTCAATATTCTGTGATAACCTATATGAGAAAAGAATCTGAAAAAGAATGAATATATGTATACGTATAACTGAATCACTTTGCTGTACACTTGAAACTAACACAACAGTGTAAATCAACTATACTCCAATTAAAGAAAAGAAAAGATGGCGAAGGGTGAGATGGATAACAAGGATCATGTTTATAACAAAGAGAGTTGTATCCATCCTGGGCTATTGCCATTAAGGGCCTTTGCCCTCCTAAGCTCTCTGTTTTAAATGGCAGAAGACTCCTCTAGTGTTATTACAGACTCCTAGAGTGGGCCCTGTGATACGTCCACATGATTACTCTTTTCTTTTCCTAGAATTTTCTAGGCACACCCCACCAGGTTATGCCCACACACTGATCACCAAAATTATGCTTTGCAACTGCCATTGCTAGTGCCTCAACCATACCAACATGCCTTGTGGGACTCTGACAGGAGGTGACACCTGTCAGTGTTCCTGCCGAATCTTCAGATCCTCTCAAGGTTGGGCCCAGGTGTGACAGAAGGATGGAAATGGTAACAGTCTAGTATGGTTAGCAGCAAGTACCATGATATTTCAGTCAGAACTGTTGAATGGAACTGGAGAATCTCCCAGTCCTTCTATCCTTCACCGTCTGGAGTCTGGAGAGGAAAGTGTCTATTGCAGCATTACTGGGCACTTGCCATGGAGCAAAGAGGAGCACAGACAGGAGGGGTGCTGCTCAGCTGGCAATAAGCCAGCCAGTGCCACTCCCCAGCTCCCCAGCCACTTGAAAAGCTAAGGGAAGAAGAGCTCTGTCCAGAGCTGAAGGAGGCCAAGAGGCCTGACTTACAGTTCATCAGTCTTTCTCCCTCCCTCTGGCTGCCATTGGCGCTAACTAAAGCTGAAACTGTAGCCACCCGCTCTGTGGGTTGCACACTCCCCCTCCCGTCACTGACCCCAGGCCTGGGCCTGAGCCCAGAGCGTGTGCCGGGAGCAGGGGTGGGGAGGGGGGTGTTGGCCTTGCTGACAAAATCCATTTGGAATTTCTCAAGGTTGTGGTTTGGGGCTTAAGTTTGCCACAGAGTGTGTCTGACGAAAGAAGAGAGAATGCTAGAAAGAGAAAGGGAGCCAAAGAGAGCACAGAGGAAGGAAATAGGGGAAAAACTGAAATTCTCCTGCTGTGTTTTCATTGGACATTCTGCTCCCTCTTCCTGAGTGTGAGAAATTCCCATTCTGGATATTCCTTATCATTATTCTCTCTCATATCCTGTGTGTATTCTAGCTGCATCCCTCTCTCCCCAGCTATCCCATATATACGTTAGGCTCAGTCAGTGCCTCAAGCCTACCTGCATCAAATTTCCAAATCAAGAATTCTCAGTGCACAAGTAGAAATTCAGGACATAAAGTTTTGCCATAAACTACTGCCCTAAACCAACACCCCTTGCGATTCTTGCTACCCTGATGCTACCGTCATTTCACCTGATTTTGAGGGTAATTTGGGTAGCAGAAATGGCAACG